TAACTATTATGAAAATGTTAGAACATGTCAGAAATCAAACCTCTTTTTTTGTAATTTAAAAACCTCTGTGGGTTTACAGATCAAAATGAACTTAAATTATATATTTAGAACAAACAATTATTATGAATAATACCAAATAATAAAAAACCTACACACATCTCATTGTGGCTGTAGGCGAGGTAGTACACCTATATGAGTGCGTATCATTCGTGCACGTATTAACATAATTATCTTACGCCAAGGAAAAAAAAACGAGATTCAGATCAGGCCAGTTTGATAAGGCAGTCGTAAGATGATACAAAAGTATAATAACTGTTGGACATAACAGGCGAGACGGACTGACTGCGCGGATGGTGTAGAAGTTTGAGCTGTCACCTCACCGCTTCCTACTGCGCTGAGTGTTGTGGGTTCGATCCTCACATGGAACAAAACTTTGTGTTATCAACAAATTGTTGTTCTGAGTCGGGGTGTTCTTTGTGACCGTTTTATGTATGTATGTAAAAAAAAAGACCGCTAGTTGTTGTATTGAGTTGGGCGTCCGGAAACCTCACTTACTCGGTGAAAGAATATTTTAACACTGGTTTTATTTGAGGTATCATTCTGATCGAGTCGGCCACTATTTTCCAAGGTGGTGCAATAAAAAAGTTTGGATGATATTAACTATGATACTAAATATTTAAAGGTTTTTACACTATGCCACCGAGTAGAGTACTAGCACAGACTACATAGATTAGTCTATAGTTGGAAGGTGCGAAATTTCAATTGCACAGATTATATAAACATACTTTCACACGAAGAATGGCGCTCCCACTATTAAAACATTAAATATGAAATGACGAAGTGTTCGCGTTTGACATCCAACTCACCATAATCTGAAAAGTGTAGATGAAAGGGCAGATTTAACACACCTATCCAAGAAATACTCATTCACTATACTCTTTTAAGATTAATGTGTTTTCTGGGAAAAAAGACGCAGGTAGTTAGCCCTCATCTCTTTTCCCAATGCGAAATGGAAAGTTTTTTAATCGTTCCCTAATTTGTTGGTTGTTATTTGACCCTTTTTAAGTCTGCAATTAGTCATAGCAAATAGAGTACAGTGCTAAGAGTTAATAATAGGTTATTTTAGTAACTCGGTAATATATATATATCTTTATATATATAATTCTTCTGTGAGTGTGTATGTCACTGAACTTCTCTCAAACGACTGGACCGATTTTGATGAAATTTTTTGTGTGTGTTCAAGGGGATCTGGGAATGGTTTAGATTCACAATTTTTTCCGCTGGACAATGTTTTTTTAATTAATTTTTAATTTATTAGTAGTTGTTGATTTTGGAATGTTTTACATTGGATCAGACAGACGGCGCTACCATCGCAGTGTCAAATTTGACAGGACAACGTCTGTCGGGTCCGCTAGTATATATATATATTTAAATTCTGCTGCGCTTTTAAAAAAAATATAAATTATTCTGTACAAAATGCCAAGGACTTTAACACTTATGCATTAACATATTATGTAAATGTTATTACTTAATTCGTGTATTTTTATTTGAATAGGCTGTCATGAACATCCGGAGTATTTCTTGTCATGTAGTAATGAGAGTCACGTTAATAGTATATAATTATATTATTGTTTTCTACACTGAAAATGTCCGTGTGGTGCCGGATTAAGAATACGGAGTGCCCTTTGCATTCCGTGGGTGTTATAAGAGCGGACTAAGGGCGCAAACTACGCAGTAGAACATCACTACAAAGGGAAGGTAAACTTGAACCCAACTTGAGGCCATCGTGGTATAGTAGGCCCAATTCTCCTTTCTGAGGAGAGCTCCATGTCCAGCAGTGTACTATTAAGGCTGTTGATGATGATGATGATTGATGACCGAAAATGTACTTATTTTACTTATACCCGTATCATCGAAGTAGCAAATTAGGTAGCGGCTTATTGAACATCAAGGATGTGTCAACTAAAATTTTGTCTCAATTTAGGGGGGATTACTTTGAGTAGTACTTTGAGAAAAAAAACACAAAAATTGGAAGCAAATTGAAAATAAAAGACAGAAAAGAAAGCATAGGAAGGAAAAAAATAATTATTTATAAGTTTGAATGTTACTTGATTTGATTAGATTGAAATTTACAAATTAAATGTATTGAAAATAACAATCAGAAAATAAAATAACAACGATATCCAGATTTATGCGGCAAATATTTTCTTTAGCGACATCTGGTCCAGTAAATGTGAACTGCTTGATGATCACTTTTTTTTTTTTTTTTTTTTTTAGGCAACTCCCGCTTTAGGAAAATATCCTGTGTCGCGGGGGACTTTACAAACATACATGAAACGGACACAAATAACACCCAGACTTGGAACAACAATTTGTGGATCACACAAAGTGTCGTCCCTGATCCTACATCACACATTAATGATCCTACGAGCACAGACATCTAGCCTGATTAGAAAATTTCACATTTAAAGAGGAGATATTCCTTTGACCTAAAGAAAGATCGAAAAAAGATACTGAAGAGAGACAGAAAAATACTCTTTCATGTTGTTTAATATTGGTGTATAAATATTTATAATAAAATAATAACAATTCTTTAAAAACAGAAAATATGTGATGGACTAGTGAGGTTATTCATTTCAGTTAATAATCATAAAGGCCAATAGGTATACATACTCTTAAGACAATTTTCAGAAGAATTACACTACACTAACACACACACAGGCTGTATTAGCAATACATTGAAACTTATCTTTTTAACTAACAACTTACTAATCACTAAGCTATACTATATACTACACTATATATATACTATCAGTGATTGTGTGTGTATTTTCATAACCACTCCTGGCTATATAGGTTATAAGCTTGTGGCTCATTTTTAATAACTAAAACATGTAGCATCTGACAGAAACAAGCGCAAGTGAGTTTGTTTTAAAATTGACTGAAAGTCCATCATTGTCATATATATATATATATCTCAGCCTATGCTTGTCCACTGCTGGACATAGGCCTCTCCCAATGATTTCCAGCGGGGACGGTTGATTGCGTCATAGAAGTTTTTAACTTAGAGTTACTTCGATTTATGAAAGAAATGATGTTTAATTTCATTCACTCAACGATGCTTTTTATATGGCCTGAACTCTTTAGTAGTAATCACTGAATACGTACGTTAATTAATTACGCAAATGCCGTAGTTTTGGCATTATAATTACCATAGGTTAAGAGTAGTGAAACCTCGCATTGTTCATCACAGGTCATAGGTACATACTATCATAACGGGTAGGTTTTTCTACACCCAATGATCTGTTTTCTTGTAATCCCTACTGGAAATTACGAAAAAATACTGATGTATTTTGTATCAACAAAACGAATATGTTTAAATGTTGGTAGAAGTGGCTAGGAAATATACACCTTTTAAATGAGTTCATCGCTCCTGTCTTGTTTCTATCAGTTTATTTCTGAAGAGGAAAATGTGATGATATATAAATATGCGCACCGGTAGACAGCAGAACACCAGACATATTGTATACAATCAGTTGGGGCCAAAGAAAGGGCCAACAATTTTACAGTTTCCCGAAGTACTCGTAAGATTCATATTTATTTCACATACTTTAAAAATACTACTCTATGATACACCTAAATTCTGCAAATTCGTATTTAAACGACTGGTAATGGGTGGATGGATCAAATAACAGGATCCATGGTGAAATGAAGTATTATTTTCACATGGGCAGGACCAATTATAATACATACTTCCACCCATACTTTTATTATAATGTGAAAGTGAGTTTGTTTGTTTGTTACGCATTCACGATTAAACCACTAAACCGATTTCAAAAATTCTTTAAATTTCATGGAAAGCTACATTATCAACGAGTAAGGCCCGGTGTCACCTATCGGCACGACATGGCAAGGGATCCTATGGCATATGTACGCGCAGACGAACACTGATGACAGTTATTCACCCAGGAGTCCTCCGGCATGGCGAGGTGTGCCTGACAATAAAGAAGAGTTCTCAGGCATGCCGAGGAGTGCTTAGGAATACCGAGGAGTTCTCTAGCACGGCGAGGTCTACTTAGGAATACCGAGGAGTTCTCAAGTACGGCGAGGTCTACTTAGGAATGTTATACAAACATTCGTGTAATTATAGAAGATTAATTAATTTTTCATCTGACATCTTTGCAAAAGTGTCTTCAAGCAAATGGGTGTGCGGTCCGTGGGGTGCGGACGATTCCCAGTTTTGACTCGGTCTCTCGAAGACTGTCGAAACTATCCGAGGGTTGCTTGGGCGTCCTTAGGTATGCCTTACGCTGCCGAAGACCGAGGTATGCCGAGATGTACATTGACAGCCTTGATTTGCCATGCCAGACTACTTTTCACCGCGAGAACTGATATACGCTGGCGGAGCTACGGGCAAAAGCTAGTAGTAAGTCCTCAAGTGACGTCTGGTACTGTATGCAATTAGAAAATAAACTTGGGCTAGAAATGAGGAAACTCGACTTCCTAACAGGTGAAGCGATGCTTTCCCACAAGTTTGGCCAAACATTAATGTGTCTTAGTTCGTCATAAACTATATACACAGCCATTTTAAGTTTAACGTGCGGCTAAGATAAGCGAGGTGAAAACAACATGGTAATAAATCCCTCAAGAGTGTCTATCAAGCTATTTGAAACAGAAAAGTACAATATCGTAGCACCGCGTAGTATTTAGACAACGACTAAACGCGAGGTAAACATTTTAACCAAAACTATGTTCAATTGATTCATCAGCAAACACTACATTGTGTCATTAAATTGATAAACAATTTATAAAAAGAAAAACATTTATGGACAGAAAAATGTTTGACAAACTTACAACACTTTTTAAAGATAAAAAAAAAATCTTTTGAAAATACCAGTTGCTGCTTAGGAGACCATTAGTGAAGGCATTGTGTCCTCACCTAAAGCAGGTGGATAATTGATTGGGCAAACATTCACGGGAATTTATAAAACCGTTACGCAATGCATTTTTTAGGGCCGGCGCCGGTAGTCAGCGCTTTTCAGAAATTACACAGGGCGGTGGGTGGCGGTGCGAACGGTGTGCGGGATATGACGTTCGATTTAAAGGGTAGGTGCGTAGGGTGGGGGTGGCCCTGGCTGGCTGCAGGGCGGCTGTTGACGGGCGCGTGGCGCATGCGTTCTGGTGTCGCAGGCGCCCGCCGCCGCCCGATTTCCGTGCCGATGACAGTTCGCCGGGACTTACTTCCTCGATACCGCGTGTCCGCGGCGTCGCTGCATCCAGGCCGAGCCGAGCCCCGCGCCTGGCGCCGCTATAGCACACCAGCTACGCACCGACTCACCACGTCGATGGCATACTGAACACGCTCATTCCACGTGAGTACCTACAGATGCATTACGACATACGACGCACCACTCCAAGCCAATTAGTGTTCTACGATTTTGGAAATAGGTTACATGTTCGATTTCTACTTCCAATTGATATATGCGCTCATTAAATTTTGAATAGTTTTCGTTTTCAAAAGCGTAGAGCATGATTATTATGTGTTATTTTGAATGGCAAAACTGATTGTGTGTGTTTTTGTGATTGTTTTGTTCTTTAATTTTATTTGGATCATCATTAATTATAAGTGTTGAATGTTACGTGGTTAGATATACGTTTATTTCTTTATCAGGTAAGTTCATTTAAGTCATTAAATCTGTTTTTTTTTTGTGTTTATCTTTGTAAAAATATTTTCGTAAAACGCAACTGGTATTGTTAATTACATTTCTAGTAAAATGTATGTATATTTGGTGTCATTGCTTTGTGCGTTTATTCAATTCCCTGTGATAGGTAGTATTGCTTCAATAATAGAACAAAGTAAATAGTAAATTGAAACCAGATAAAATTCAAAAACCATAAGATAATAAAAGTAAACAACCGAATTATAGAATATGTGTCCTTTTAGTTATATTTAATATTGTTATACATTTAATGGGTATTAATCAAGCCGCTAATACTTTACAGAATATTCAATTGGTTAGTGTAACTTAATTATGTAAATTTAACAACATTAAAAGTACTTATTACGTGTGAGATAACAGGTAGTCAGTTAGTTAGAAAAATATGCAGGTGTATATTTTTCTAAAAACTATTTTTTATATAAACATTGTGTATATTAGGAAGCGCTTAGTTGTTACTTTTTTAACTAAGGTGTGTTTTAACATTGTTTATTATTAAAAATTTAAAAAATATATATATAAAAAATGTATAATAACAATAATTTGAGAACGTAGCACTGAGATTGACATTGGTAAAAAAATAAATAATTATAGTATTTTTTTTACGTAGTGCAGTTACACTCTGTATATAATTTGATTAATTATTTCAATAACATGTAAGTATGACCTAATCCTTCACTTCAACTGTTTAAAAGCTGCCAATTTATCAAGTAAGATGCAAGAGTTTGACATTGAACGGTATATATATGTTTACGCATGCGCAAATATTTATCCAGATGTACAATAAATATACGTACCTATGTATGCTGGTGTAGCAGAAGCTAATTCCGAACGCACCCGTGTTTGTAAATTACAATTTCGAATTTGGAATTTCAAATATCGTCGGCCATTTTATTATTGCTTTTGTTTTATGCGTTTTAGCTTTAGGTTATATGTTTTAATTTTTATTCTAGTTGTTATTTTTGTTCAATTTTATAACAACATAAAAATACTGCCTACTTTACTTTAGAAAAATGCGGTAATTATTAATACGAAACAAGCCGAATGACTGTCACACAAGGCTTGTTTAATTTTAGGTAGATGATTTGATTTATTACCAGCTATTGTAGACCTTAAAAAAAGAGTTAATATTTTTTTGTTTAATCCCTACATTTATCGTAAATCTTTAACAAAACATTGTCTGTTTATTTTTTTTACATAGAATAAATTAAATTATTTATTTTATTTCAAAACGGAATATTTAAAAAAGTAACACACAAAAATGTGTCATGCATTAAGGTTATCATAATGTTTTCATATTACTCAAAAGAAACTGATTTTGAGGGAAGGGCGAAGAATAAAGGGAATTAGTTTTTCTAAATACATTCTTTTTTAAAATTTAACGAACGCTGTGGTTTAATAGACTATTTTAAATCCAGCAATTAGCAGTCTACTAATAAATTCACTTCGCATAATTATTTCATTCCTACCGAAAAAGAAAAGAAAAATAAGTGAAATAACCTTATAACCATAAAATAACACTGTATATATATAACATTGTATATATATTTTAATACCAAATTATTTCATTAAGTTCATTGTGGTTTTTTTTTACAAATGACGTCATCGATACTATAATAAAGCACCAATGGACATGACAAAGCCGAGTGTTAGTTGTGTTAATGAGAACTTAATCTATTTTTTTAAAGATTTTTATGATTAAACTATTGAACTGTGGAGTATCTAAATATTTAATATTTGTTTTTTGGCGCTATACGGAGTTATTAGTAGAGATTTAATAGAATTGTTAGTTGAAAGGTAAACGTTATGGGGTGAAGGCTAAGGGGGCGAGAGGCACGTGTAAGGCTCGCTCCGTGAGGTGAGGGCTGTAAGTAGTATTATAACTGGATCGTTTTAATTATTGTGTTACTGTTAAAAAATAGCATAGTTTGCGCTCTCGCTGTGCTTGTTTTGAGATTGCCTCTTTTCTATCGTTTAAAAAAAACTTGATTTCCTTTCATTGTTGGGAAAACGATTAATCGATTTTACAACATAAAGAAAATTCCATATTTTTATACGTAGAAGTTTCATTAAGACGACCTAATATCAAACTCTTAACTGCATTCTAGAATTTGGTTTATAGAAATTCTTTAAATTTGTATTAGTATGATATGATTTTAAATGAAATGTTTTCAGTGTTATGCATATGCTGACTTTACAACATATTAAACTTTAAATACTACATATATTCGGGACGTTTATTTCAATTTGTGAACGTGGAAGCTCTCGGCATTTGTTTAGGGAGTTGCTAAGGGCGACAATTACCTGTGGAGTTTACCTTTATCAAAATCTACAAATCTCAAACACAAAGAGTTTTTGCGACTGACGGAGGGGTTATATTAAAAAACATTTTGGTGGTCTAAGCTCGACTACTAGTCGATCCTAGGTAAACTTTCCTTACATTTTTATGCTGCTTTTTGAACTGCTATGTAATAGACATTTCGTCCAGTGCCATGTACATCAACATGTGTAGGCAGTATGGGTGAAGCTTTTTATAACCATTTTCGCATATTTAAAAGAAATATATATATATTTTACTTTTTCGTAAACGTAAAGTTACGTATTCCAAATTTCACATTCCCCCGACTTTGCTTAGTCATAGATTTAAATAATTATAGAGATTTTCACATTATTAATACATAGAAATGGAAGTGGATTGAAATTTTATGTAAATTAATACTCACTTGCAAGATTTACATACCTAGAAAGATTCTGACAGATATTCTACCGATAATATAGGATTTCTTTCTGTTAAATTCATGTTTTCAATTTCTATTGAACAATAGGGGTTAAAGTATGAAATTGCCGTTGTATGGCAATAGATACTTTGAATTGACATAAAACGTTCATGACGTGGGATTTTCGTGTGTAACTATTTCTCATGATACCTATGAGGTTCTTCTTTCAAAAAATGTGCAACATTCGATTTCCGACTTTCAATTGTTTTTTTATTCAGCTTATACGTGAAAGCGCTACTAACGCGGCAGAACGGCTCGCAATATCAACGCTGCGTTTAAACGCTTTCGTACTTTAAACTTCGACTTGAACTCATTTGCATCAAATCAATAAGATAAAAGAAATATGAAAAATGGGTGCCTCATGATTTGACTGATCTGGTCTTGCCTTGTTAAATCGATACAGAAATAAACGAATATTAGATCGAGTTGTGACATATGACGAAAAGTGGATTATTTGGCTGACTCTATGTCAAACCCCGCAACAGTGCCCTAAAGCAAAGCTTACCAATAAAAAGGTAATAATAACTGTTTGGTGGTCTCTTCATGATTTTATTCAATATAGCTTTCTCAGGTCTGGTAATAACAGTAGATATTTAATGTGCCGAATTTCTAGCAATGATGGCGAAACTGGCAGTGAAACAGCCCCGACTCGTGAATCGATAATCATCGTAACTGCTCCAAGATAACGCAAGACCTCACACTGCACGAGAAACCGATGTAACTCTATATTAGCTGCAGTTAGAAACCATACATCATCCTCCGTACTCGCCAGACCTTGCTCCGGACGTGTAACGGACTACCATTTTTTTCGTGATTTGGACAATTTTCTACGTGATTTCTTCCCAGGATGCAGTAGAAAATGCTTTCACACAGTTTGGCGAATCTAGATGCATAGAGTTCTATCGTAAAGGCATAAATAAACTTTCGTTTCGATGGCAGCAATGTATAGATAATGAGGGTAAATATTTTGATTAAATAAATATTACATCTTAGAAAAACGAGTTTTAATATTTCAGTACAAATCGGCAATTTCATACTTAAACCCTATTTTTACATAGACCTTTCAAATCAAAGCAAACAGTTTAATTCAATTTATTAAATTCATTCATTACATTTTGTGTGAAACATACTATTACTTTTTTTAAATATTTAAAATACTTTCTAAGCAAATTGAAGGCAATATATATTATTATATCTATTTTTTTTATAGTTTTAAATTTAAGTCGTTGCATCAAAAATTTGAGTAGTGGACTCCTATTTATTGAAATTTTCCATTCTTCTAAGGTGCACAATATATTCCGTCCATAGTTGGAATCCTCCCTTGCACTTAATGACATCGTTCGCCAATTCAAATCCCTACCACTGTTAGCTACAAACGTAAAGGATGAAGAGAGATGCGTTCAGTGTTAAGTAGTCTGTATAAACGGTGTATCACTAATTCATATATTTGTAGTCTCTTTTCTGACAAAGTCCTGAAACTGGAAACAAGAATTATTAAGAAGTTAAATATCCGTGAGATTAAGATAAAAGATCAATTGGCAACCAATAATGTGAAAATGCGAGGAGGAAAGCGAAACATTAAAATTCTAATTGACATAGTGTGGAAATTTGGAATAATATCAGGCCTTTAAGCAAAAAAGTAGGATGTTAATCTATATATACTATTACTAAGCTGAACAGTTAATTAAACTGAATTATAAAGCGCTAATCTCAGAAACTACTGGTCCGATTTGAAAAATTATTTCAGTGTTAGTTCATCCATTTATTGAGGAACGCTATAGGCTATATGAAATCATACTACGGCCAATGGGAACCGTGCATCAATAAAAAATGTTGAAAAAACGGGGAAAATTTACTCTTTTT